CGTCAAAAACAGTGACAAGATTCCAGTCCACTCCTGTACTCGAGTCTTTCTTCTTTTTCTTTCTTTGCCCACCCACCCTCTCTCCTTACCTTGCTGTTCCTACCCTCTTCCCCTCCCACCCAACTTTTCGAAGCCCCCTCCAATTGTGTCATGCATCCCTCCAAAACCAACCCCTACTTCAAGGGGAGCCCTGGTGGCGGTTACTCGCTAGGCTGCTAAGGAACAAGGTCAGCAGTTCAAAGTCACCAGCTGCTCCCTGGGACAAAGGCCATATAAAGAGTTCCCGTCTCGGAAACCAACAGGGCAGTTCTACCCTGTCCTATCTGCTCAACTTTGCAGATGCGCATGGCTCCCTTTCAGACATTTGTGAATCTGCCCCACAGCCAGCACCCTGCCAACGACCCTCTGAGCAGAAAGGCCTCTTAACATCTCAGATGGCAGGAAGGGCGGATGGAAGTGGGAATGGGAACCGGAGGGTAGGAGCAGGAGAAGAGTGCTCCCACCTGGCACGCCTGGCTACCAGATGCCAACACACGGTTGGAAGGGAAACGAATGTGTTCCGTCCACTTTCACCCAGATTACAAGAAAATGTTTTGAAACCAAACAAAACCCTCTCAACATCCTTTTCCCTGACGGAAGCACAGATCTGATCCTTCTATCAAAGTTGAAAGCGAGCCACTGGACTTTCACCAGCTGTGATCTAAACGTCCACGCAGATTCCAGTTGACTTTATTTATTTTTAACTTTTTAGTGTGCACTAACGGAGCGCTGGTCAGGTAGGGTTCTCGGCTGGGCTGCTCACTGCGGGGGCCACGCTGGGACCACCAGCCACACCTCGGGACAAAGATGAGGCTTTGGTTTTCCACTCCAGGAAACAGCGACTGTCTCCTTAGCCCCCCCGTGGCAGTTCTACCCTGTCTTACGGAGTTGCTATCGGTCGGGATTGACTCTGTGGTGGTGAGTGCTTTGAGTTATTGTGATTCAGGTCTGGGCTTACCTTTCTGATCATCAGTCTTGTATTCAGCAACTTTAACTATTTATTAAACCTCCCAACAACTTCCCCGCTCCCCGGTGATTTCTCCTCTCGTTTGTAGAAAACTCTTTTTCTTCATCTAGGCCAGTGGTTCTCAACCTTCCTAATGCCGCCACCCTTTAATACAGTTCCTTGTGTTGTGGTGACCCCCCACCCCTAAAATTATTTTCGTTGCTACTTCATAACTGTCATTTTGCTACTGTTAGGAACCGGGCAACCCCTGTGAAAGGGTCGTTCGACCCCCAAAGGAGTCGAAACCCACAGGTTGAGAACCGCTGATTCTAGGCTAACACCTGTCTACCCTCCAGCCAGTTGCTTTTTACAGACTCCTGGGCCCAGGCAGACCTGTGATTTATGATGATGATGATTTTAGAGAAGGTTCACAACCCTCCGCCTTCCCATCGATCAGACAGGAAACAAGAGCCCAATGTCCTTATAAAGTGGACTCATGGTTTTTTTTTTGGGGGGTGCTATCTATAAGTCATTTTATTGGGGGCTCATACAGCGTTATAACAATCCATACATCAAGTGTACCACGCACATTTGTACATATATTGCCATGCTGCCTGAAACCCAGAGCGGAGCCGCGCTGGCCTCACAGCAGCTCAAGGTGCCCAGTAAGAGCAGCAGGGAACCATCGTGCGTTTGTTGAATGAATGCCCGCCCGGGAGAATTCAAACAGCTTCTTGGAAAATAAATAAATAAAAGTGTTTATAAGCTTTTCTAGCTTCTTGGTGTCTGCTTTTCCCACCCCCGCTTGCATATCTCAAAACCATCCTGCAATTACTCGGCCATACAAACGCTGCGTGTGGAGAGCCATGGACGTGGGGTGGGGGCAGAAGATAAAAATCACATTCCCTGAAAGGAATGTTTCAGATTCTTTCCTTCTTAACCTGCAGTTAAGAGAAGCAAAGTAGGAAGATAACAAAATTAGAACACTAGCTAATTCTGAAAAGGTAAAAACAGCTATGTATCACCTATGTATAGATCCCTGGTGCTGGAGTGGTTACAAGTGGGCTGCGATCTATAAGGTCGGCAGTTTGAAACCACCAGCCGGCTCCCACTCCCATAAAGCATTATCACAGGGGCAAATCTACCCTGTCCTATAGGGCTGCTATGAGTTGGCATCAACTTGATGTCGGTGAGTTTCATTTAAAGTCAATGAAACAAACGCTAAACTCACTTCCATTGAGTCAATTGTCTCACAGCAATCCTACAGGACAGAGTAAAAATGCCCCTGTGGGTTTCTGAGGCTGTAACTCTTTACAGGCGGAGCCTCATCTCTCTCCCAGAGCAGCTGGTAGATTCAAACCACTGACCTTGCAGTTAGCAGGCCAAATCATCCCACAGCACCATCAGGGCTCCTTGCGGAGGAAAAGGGGTCTCACAGGACCCCTAGGACAGCCTGAATGGTGCCGTTGATAAACACTCTTAGTTGCTGATTACAAGGTTATAAGCTCCAGTCCACCCAAAGGCATTTCAAAAGACAAGCCTGTTGATCTGTTTCTGAAACCAGCCACGGAAAACTCCTTTGGAGCACAGTTCTACTGACACACACAGGGCTGCCGTGCTTTGGAGTCCTTCCAATAGCAATTAGCTTTACCGAATTATTTACATAAGATACATGGGCGGGGGGGCGGGGGGGGGGGGCAGTCAGCATATCCCATGATTGATCAATACTCAGGACAGAAGACGCTTCTGTAGAGTCAAGTATAGTAACTGCTATGGAGGGAAGACAAACAGGCACACTCACTCTAGTAAATATATATTTAAAGACAACCACAGCCATGCATATTACATTTACTAAAGTCATAATTAATGCTATGACTTTGACTTCCTATGTAAGGTCTTCCAAAAAGTTCATGGGAAACTCATATTATGAAAAAAGTATGTTTTGTATGTCAACACTTTTTTTGCACCCCAATAAGACTTGTACAAACTTGTTACAACATGTCTGAAGAGGATACACATGAGTTGGGAAAGAGCCCCGATCTGAGTAACATGAAATCTCCTGAAATTGAAGCGAGAACAAATTTCAAAATTTGGCTAGAAAAATGGTGAAATCAAGGATGCTTTAAGAAAAGTTTATAGGGGTACTTCCCC